CTTCCGTTCCTCACCTCAGCCCTCCCCGTTCCCAGAGCTGCCTGGATGACCTTGCGCACACTCCATGTCGGTGCGAGGCAGAAAAAGCTATCTAGCAGATGTACGACACCTCATCTCATACAGGGGAAAATTGCTGTGTGAAATAAATACCAGGCCATCGCTCAACCCCTGCACATGCATGCACACGCGCGCACACAAGCTTGCATGCCTGGAGTCTTTCTGTGATCTCCTGTGCAGAAAGCAGAGCTTATGTTATGAAACTATAACAGCCAGATTACCGGGTTCTACCAGCCAGCGAGACACGGCTGGGTGGCAAAGTGGTTAGAGGAACACTCAGCGTCAACCCCTGCGGTACAAGGCATTATCTCTGGCTACGGGACTGAACCTAGATGCTCTAGGCCCAGATCTTTAGTCAACCCTTACCTTTAACCTTTGTGGAGGAGAATGTCCCAAAGGGAATAACTGAAGCATCTCACTGACTGTGTTTACATGAACACAAATACCCCAGTTAGGAGGCTTATCCCAGTTTTTCCTTAAATTCAGGCTATTAGGTTTATATGAAAATCTGGTTATGCATATCCCAAGTATCATAGTTACTGATTGCTACATCCCATTTGCACAGACGCCTATGAAGTTCACAAACCAGCAGTTTTGAAATCACTAGCCCTAATATTTCTGTAACTTTAAATTAATTTGACTGTAGCACTGATATGACTCGTTCTGGCATTCTGAAACTTGTCTAATACAGAGTTGAATAGGTCAGCATTTCAATACATCAAACTTTTTGATTAGCACTTTCCGTTCTTAATTGCTCCAGGAGTGAGATGCTTTCACTGCTTGCTTTCACTATTGTTTATATTAAATCCATTACATCACTTGGCTGAAGCCCCATCTGCAATGAAGTCAGCAGAATTCAGAAACAATGAGAAACGGTATACATACATGCAAAAGAAGTCCAGTTAGCATATTCAGGTTTATCAAAACCAAGTAAAATTGTTTATATGGCTTTCTTAAATTGTTTACATATGCAAACACAAAAATCAGACACTAATGCATATCTTAGTTTAGTTTAAAAGTGACTAACGGGGGGAAAACAGCTAACCGTGATCTTTCCAAAGCACATCTAAAGGACACTAATTAACACACTATATCGCAATTAGTTGTTGTGTGGAAAAAAAAAACCCACAGGAAACATTCTTTGCAAGGATTCATCTCAAATAAATAAAAACCAATGATTTTAACACAAAAACACTGTTAGAAATTTTAGAATTTCAGCTTGAACTCGACTTGATCTCCAAGACTCTGGTCGGCTAGCCTGGCATGCTGGGTGGTGTGTTTAGCTTACTATCACCTCAAGGGGAAAGACAGATAATTAGAGGTCTCACTCTTCTTACACTCATGACGGCAGCCCATTGATGAAGGCGCTCCAGTGTTAGCAGGGCTAAACCCTGACGCTAGCACTCTGCCCTGCTAACTCAACACACCCCTGAAATATTAATGAGGAAAATCTCAACGCTTGTGTGTTCCCTGCAGTATATGGCTCACCTATGTGAGTGCCCGCGTACATGTCTGAATGCCTAACAACGAACGTAACGCTCAGCTTCTCTTTGATGGGTCAAGTGGCGGATTTGCTGCAACAGACATTCCTCCATGTCTTCCAACGGTGCTTTAAATCTAACTGTTGTGAATGAAGGACTGACAGAATGACTGTATGACTGACTGAGCCACACACATTTAACCCCTGCTGTGGCTGCCCATAAAAGCCGAGCGCTACAACGCTCCAATGAGCTCACCTAAAGATATGCCTGTGATCCAACTGTGATGAGAGGCCTTGTCGTCTTTGTTGGACCAGGTACACATCAGATCACTGTACCCTGCTGCTGCCATGCTCCACTCTGCTCTCCCCCAGTGGACCAGGCCGTGACACCCCCTCATGTACGTGCATTCACGCAAATCTGCACATACACGCATACGCTCATTCAGCCTCACACATGCTCGCTTGACGGTGTGTGCACACAGGCAGGCACGACACACACACACATACACATCCTGATATGCCTGCTCACATCAAAGAGAATAAACATTAATGGCAAATAGGTAATCTGCTCCTCTTGTCTGTTTTACATTTCAGGGCAAGATTGACTGCCTCTGGGGAACCTGGCCCTTCTCTGATTGAGGGCAGGAAAAAAAAAGGAGAAAGAGAAAAAGAGGAAGCAACGATAGATGGTAAACACATGATAGAGCATTATTCTTATTTCATGTTTCTCTTTATTTTTTATTTATACACGGGAGATTGAAAAGAAGGTAATAATATTCCCTCACTTCAACCCACGACGGCCTACTATGGTCCTAATCTTCTCCCCTGCAATATTCTGATGCAGACGTTATTATTCTCATTTCTTCTGAATAATATCCCTCTCAAGTCTATCTGTTCTCTCCACTGGTGCTCGCTTTTGTCTTTCCTCTTCATTTTCCCCCTTTAGGATCTTCTCCACGCTCTCCCTGGCCTGCACTAACTCAAGCAATTCTCTCCACACTTTTCCATTCTCTCCTAACTTCTCGTCCCCTCTCTCTTTCTTCTCGCCGGTCGGCGCACTCGCTATCTCCTTGCTCCTTTCTCTTTCGCATTCTGAAGGTGGTGCCAGGTTGGTGTGGCCGGGGGTGGGGGTGGCAGGCAGCACCTCATATCCTATCTGCGTATCAATCATGAGGTCCTGTCCACTCAATCCTCCTCTGATCCATCAGCCAGCCTCTCAGCCAGGCTCAGCCACACACACAGCACTGACTAATGGCAGTCAGGGCACCTGTGCACGGTGCACACCAGCCTGCTTTCATTTCACAACCCTGGGAGCTGCGGAATATGCAGCGTCCCACCAAAGAGATGCACATTACAGGGTTTGAAAGTACATTTGCACATTACATTAAATTCAAAAGGCAGGATATTCATATAATTTCTCATAATGGGTCCAGTTAGCATGTCTTGGTGATATGATAGTCTTGATGAATCGATAAATAAACCAATAACATTTTTTAAAATTGTGGTTAAAAATGCATATCACTGGCCAAAGTGATGTCTTAAAATGTATTGTCTGGTTCAAAGAGTCAACCAGATTTAGTACACTCTCATACAAGACAAACAAAAGCATTGATTTCTCACAGTTTGGGAAGCTGGAACCAGAGAAAAACATTTGCTATTTTTCATTTAAAAAGAAAAAAGGAAGAAAAAAAAAAACTTAAATTATTTATCAATTATCTAATTTGTTTCTGGTTATTTTTCTGCCAATCAAACAACTAATAATTTCAGCTGTAGTCCCATTTATTAAATGACACATCGCAATTTCCACTGGATGGTTCTGATGCTAACACGGGAGCACACATGCCAACGACAAAGTTCTGCAGACACAAATTGTAGCTGCCATCACTTAACTGCATAAATTTATCATCAATGCCATCATTTTGCACATCCCCACCTCCAACACCGCCTCCACCTCACAACACCCCACCACGCACTCCCACCAGCACCAGCCCAACCCACCTGCTCCTCGCTTACCGCTAAGCCGATTACACAACGCAACCCTCCTAATCACAGTACAGCGTTTGTAAACACCGATGTCATCGACTGTAGTTCTAAATCTCCCAAATCCCTTCCACCTTTCATCTCATACCACACCAGTAATGCCATTTTCGACTGATGTTTTAATCACCAGTGGTGCTGTGAGTGACTGCCACTGTACCGCAGAGACTCGGCAGAGAATGTATGAAAACGCTTTGGCTGAATTCTTTCAAAAAATGGGTTTAGCGCACAGTGCAACACTGATATTTGTTGTTTATTCCAAAGCCTGTGAACATTAGGCTGGAGAGTTGAAGTGTGGTGTCTTTTTATGGCACCATCAACCACACGTGTCAAAACATCTCTGTTGCATCATCCCTTCATCCTGACACATCTGTAATGAAGATATTAAAACACTTTTCCCTTTGTGATTAAAATGATCTCTGCTCTCCCCCGCAGCCATACACAAGTAAACAAAGGGCCTTGCTCACGCATATATTATGACAACCTTTTCTTCAATTGTGCGTCTGTGCATGTTTTTGTGTGTTAGTGACTCTGTGTGTGTGTGTGTGTGTGTGTGAGAGAGAGGGATTTAAAAACAGCACAGTTTACTGGTTCATTAGCACCAGATTAGCTATGCTAATGACATGGACCACCACACACAGAGACGTTCTCTTTATGTTTCTGAAAGGGACACATGACTGGCTATAGCTCAGTGTGTATGTGTGTGTGTGTGTGTGTGTGTGTGTGTGTGTGTGTGCGGGTGTGTGCGTGCGTGTGTGTGTGTGTATGTTGCAGGTGTGTACACATTAGTCTCGAATAAATAACTGTGTCTCCTGCAAAAAACAGAGCGAGCTACATAATAATAATAATTCAACAAAGTATGTATGGCTAATGATGTTTTAATTGCATTAATGAGTGAAAAGGAGAGCTGCTTCCAGAAGAGGTTTGGGCAGACGGGTTGGACCAGTGTTGTGTATGACCTGCTGTCTCTGCGTGTCTTGGTTTCATTAATACTCATACAATAAGACGGATAGCTGCGGCAAACTGAAACATGACTACATGCACACGCAACACGGTAATCCAGACCTGAGACGCAAGTTTCCATGTGCTTCCATCTGATGACATATGACATAAATACAAAATGATGTGTTGTTTACACTGCATTAAACTTCCCAAAAAATTTTTTTGCCTTTAATAAGAAAAATCTGTAATGGCATTTAACACACTGATTTGTAATACAAACATCCAAAATGGTTGTGAAGAGAATTTTTTTCTCACTCCGAAATAATTTAGACATTACTTATTACACATTCCTTTCTGAATATATGGCTTTAATGAATAAGACCTGATTCAAAACACAGGTAGCAAACTTCAACTATCTATTATTTATATAGCAATCTGAGGACAGGTACAGAATGGAAGTGAATAATGAGTGTGATGGTGATACCTCCTGTCCCGGCTGCGTGACCTGTGTGAACGGTGGCTCCGCCCTTTGTCTCTTTCTGCACTTCGACTCCTCTTCCTGCGAGATGAACTGTGGGACGAACTGCTGCTGGACCGTCTTCTTCTTCTACAGGCCACAGACAGAAAAAAATATGCATTTAACCCTGTTATTGGCAGAATCTTTAAAACAAAACATCAATCATGCAGCAAGGTTCTTTTTCACACAATTATTTGTTGTGCAATGTTGGCAAATCAGCAACAGTTCAACATACAAATTAGTTCTTATTTCCCAGTATGGTTAATGAAATACAGTGGGTCCTTAGACTCCTGAGAATATAAATTTGTCATTAGTAATTAGAATTTTACAATGGTCATTTAACTTTCCTGTATATACACTATTCACAAAAAAGCCACGCAAAACCAAAATATTCACACATAAGCTCTGTTCTTTATGCTCCACTTTGCCCTCCCAAGCACCATCAGAAATTTCTTCCTCTTCTGCAGAAGTGATTGTTGTTTTCCTACATCATGGTTTGCTGCTGATTTCCTTGAGCAAATACGTCCTGATGTCCCCAACAATCTAACCTATTTTAAGCAGCACTGACAGCTACTTTGCATTAGTGAACGCTCTCATTCAAGGCCCAAAGCTGCCGACCCATGCAGGTTGCCCTACAGTTCCTCCACAGGGGCCTTTTACAGCTCTGTTGCTCTTTAATGTGGCTAGAGCAGTGTGTCTAGCATCTACTTTCCAAACACCGCTTACACCGTGTTCCTATTGATATCATGTAGCAGGAGGCATTCATGGGGGTGAATGTAAATGCAGGAACCCCCCTCTCCTACTGCACAAACAGTTTGTGCAATATTCATTATTCAAAATCTCTTCTTTTGTTTTACCAAAGCCAAAAATACCCAAATCTTTTTAGCGCACCCCCCCAAAAAAACACATACTCGGTCCTATGGGAGCTCTGCGAGATAGAGGAGAAGAGAAGAAAAAGGCAAGCAATACAAATAACATAGAGGCTGAACTATCAAACCAGATTTGTACCACTTAGAGTAGCGCAGCAAAGATCCATTAGTATTCTAAAGGCTGGATCCCAAGAGCGGGGCCTTATGAAATAACTTCCACAGCCCCTGCACAACCACTTCACACATTACACAGAAGAAACCCACAGTAGTGAGCTGACGGGTTTCGGAAGGTGGCATTAGCTCGCACATTTTCACAAAAGCCTGCGCGAGCATCATGCAATGAAACATAATGACTCAAACAGATGCAGTGGGGAAGTTTAACACAGAAGGCTTACACCTGAATACACATAACACCTATAACAAGTTGGATTTCACATCGTTCGCTCATTCACACACACTTTTCCCCATCTTGCTCCTTTTCTTGTTTCGCACATACGCAGGCCTGAGTACAATTTGTCTCCTTGCATGTACATGTTAATTATGTGCTCATGATGTCACCCTCATAAAGAATAAGCACACTTCTGTTTTACCACACGTAAAACTGTTTGTGCACGAAGAGGTTGAAAGTGCTACAGCCTCTGTGTCTTCTTTCACATGAGCCTATTTAAAGGAACTAGTTTCAACAGACACATGCACAAGGTCTTGGCTAATTGATCAAAACGTACGGCTAATAGATGAGGGACTATGGGCCCGGGGTTTACACTACGCACCAGACCCCACCCTGTGCAGGCAGGCAATGACTTCCCATCAGCAGTAATGGACCTTGACCAAGCCTCATAAATAATTACCATCAACTGGCCTTGTCTGAACAGCCACATGCAGCCAGTGGCAGCTGTGGATGGATGGATGGATGGATGGATGGATGGATGGATGGATGGATGGATGGAGGGATGGATGGATGGACTGAGGCCAGGTCCAGTCACTAGCCACTTGCAAAGATGGCTGATCATTACTGAACCTCCCCCTTCCTCAGTAACTGCTAAATATCAAAGAGTGTTTTTTTTTGTTTTGTTTTTTAATGATTGTGGGATAAACCTTATTAAAGTGGTTATTTCTTCAAAGTTTTTGCTCCAGCAATGCCAAGTCTTCACATTTTTATGTAGACACTAGACACAAAATTAGTAATTTATCCTAAATTTCTTGAGAAATTTAAGAAAAGAAAGACAATATGATATGGTGCATCTCTGATATCTTATTGTACTTCCAGTCCTCTCAGTTTGCCTACAACTGCGCTTTGACACAAGCAACAGTGCATGTAGAAGTTCTTAAAATAACAATCATATACATCATTTTCTGAATATCTTACTGTAAAATGTATATTTCACTCTTAAATTTCACATCTAGGTCGTCGTAGCAGTGTCCTTGTCTGGCATTGTTCTATGTGAATTATTACTGAGAAATAATCTTGCATCATGATGTTTTTTTTAATCAAAAACTCAGTGGTAAAATGACAAAATGTGCATCAGTCCTACATGGGCGATACAGCCAAAACTATATGAACAACTGGTAGCTAAAATGTACTTGCACAGAATTAGTTTAAACTGAAGGCAAACATATACGCCAAACAACCAAACTTCTCTCGAATTCAAAAAGTTACTTCTCTCTTGCTTTTCAATTAAGTTACTGCATGTTGAGAAAAAGCCTGAATTACATAAAATCCAAACAAATGTGTTTTCCAGTTATTTTTCAGTAATGGCTTTTCTCCATTTACCCACACTGGTTTACTCTAGGGATGTTTTTGAAGCCAAAGCAATACAATACCCAGCATTTTCTCATGCACTGGCGGATATACAAATGTATTTGTATTAGGCTCTGAAAAATGCAAATGCCAGAAATTATCACATGAATTTCAGAAGACATTTTGACATGTCACAGTAGGAGAAACACAGGTGCAAACAATAAATTTGTGATATATATAATCCATTTAGCTGCTTCTGTTTCAGGGTCCTGGTATGTTGGCTGACTGTCACACGATCATGGTTTACTGGATTGCTTGAATACAACAGAGCTATTGTTGATGTCAGCCTACGCAGTTCCCACGACAAATCAGAATGCCTTTTCTGAAATAAACATACTAGAGATGCAATGATAATTGAGTAATCAATTATTTGTCAACTATTAAATTAATCATCAATTATATTGATAATCAATTTCTTCTAAAGGTCTTAGAATTCTCTAATTCCAGCTGCTCACAGTTGAACATTATCTGATTCCGTTACTCCTCTATGTCAGTAAACCAGGCTTTGGGATAGACATTTTTCATCATTTTCTGACAGACCAAACGACTGATTGTTTATTCAAGAAAACAATCTGCAAAATAGTCAACAATGAAAACAATTGTTCCTTGCAGCCCGATGACATATTAGATAAATGTTGGCAGTGAAGCTACTAGATCTGTACTGATAATGCACTTTAAAGTTTACAACTAAACTCACTCAGGACAGCACAGAGGTACAGTGGTTAACTTGCTCTGTGTTCAAACCTGCTGGTTGTCTGGGGCCTTTCTGTGTGGAGTTTACTAGTTTTCTTTGTACATGTGTGGGTCTTCTATGGGTGCCCCAGCTTCCTCCCACAGTCTAAAGACATGCACGGTAGTTTAATTGGTGATTACAAACTGGCTGTACATGTGAGTATGAGTGTAAGCGTTCATAGTTCTTTCTCTCTCTGTGTTAGCCTCACAATGAACTGGTGACCGCTCCAACACGTACTCCACATCTTATCAAATGTCAGTTGGGATAGGCTGAAGCCCCTTGCGAGTCGCTACATGATAAAGCGGGTATAATTAATGAATGGATGGATGGATGATACAGCAAATGGTAAGTACCTATATCTAGAAGACAAGAAATCTACAAGAATGTGCTTTACTTTTATGTCTCTCGACTGGCCTGGGAACGCCCAGGGGTCCCCCTGGAAGAGCTGGGGGAGGTGTGTGAGGATCAGGAAGTCTGGGCAGCTTTGCTAAGGCTGCTGCCTCCGCGACCCGACTCTGGATAAGCGGAAGAAGATGGATGGATAGAGATCTTAGGTTCTTCGGAAACTCTGAACACCTAATAAAACTCAAGTTACTTCTGAACGAATTTGCATCTCAGAAAGGTTCAAATGCAGCATCAGCACCAAACAGTGCCTCTAGAGGAGACACACACTCTGTTTTGCTCACGGACACTCCAGCAGCTCAATGCCCTACTCAGGCTTATCCCTTCTGCCTTTACTAAGACAGAAAATCTTATCGCACGCAGGCTCACCTCCTGTCTCTGGAGCGAGAACGACTCCTGCGACTGGACCTCCGACTTCGGCTGCTTGTCACTCTGCTGCCGGAGGATGAGGAGGAAGACGAGGAAGAGGAGGATGAACGGCCCCGCTGCTTTCTCTTCCTCCTGCTCCGGCTGTCATCCTCACTGTCAGACGAGCGCCGACCCATGCTGGCGGACTGTGAGCTGCCATAACAAACACAGGACAAGGGTTTCTCATTTGCTACCACTCTGACAACCTTTAGCGATCATTTAGCCCAGACATAAACCCAAATTATCAACGTGAATGTTCTTAATTTATCACAATCAATAACACATCCTTCTGCAAATCTCTTAAACACAGTACTTTAATACAATAGCAACTGTAAACACACACAGAGATGTCTATGTGCAAGTTCATTCAGCCTTTGTTTCAGCACGTTAACAAGGTGCAGAGAAGTAGCATTTATGCCATTTGAGTCACTGTAACAGCGGAAACAACAACATTATAGTAAATGTTTAGAAAATAAAGGAGATAAATAAACACCGGTGTTTTGTATGGAGGCTAGCTGGCAAGCTAACTGTGCTAACTTATCTAGCGGTAGGCTGTTGTTCCTGCTTCGATACAGCCTTCGCGCTGCTCAGCAGTAAACATATGTCACATGTCATTTAGTAAACGTCACATGAAAGATGAAAGTGTGGCAAACAAACAGAGAAGCTACCCTGAAATGAAAAGCCCGCTCCTCACCTTTAAATCGTTGTGTATCTCCACAACTCAGCCATGCACCGCTCACCAGACTCTACTCGTCAAACCAGAAAGCATCGATCGAGAGTAGGACGCAGACTCGAACACGGAGCAATCGATTGAGGTCTCATCATGGTTTGAATTGGTGCTTTATGATATTTCTCAGAATAAAATTAGACCTAACTACAGCATCATTTATTGTTATTGCTGCTTTAAGTATTTTCTAAAGCTGCAAAATTTATATTAACATAAACCAATACAGTGTAAGCAAGTATCGTGCATTGGTTTAGAGATTTAAGGAAACATCTTGATTCAGTGTGCCTAGTTAAAGAATTATTTTTTCACTATTACTGACTAACCGAGGAAGAAAAAAATAGCTTTTCAAAACTGAATATCTCTGGATGATGCTTATTCCAGTGTTGCTACTGAGCACTCTTTCATTTAGAAGTAGGAGGTCAGTTAATGTAGCAGCAACACACCCATGATTTCTAACTGTTATGTTGTACTATGTGCATTTTTTTTTTTGACTCAACAGAAAAAAAAAATGAATTGCTTTATAATGTCTGTGTAGCTTATACAGGATGGGCTACACATATTTCGATTTGATCTGGCAATACCCGCAGATAACATAACGAAATGCATGTGTGAGTTGTAACATGTCAGTGATGATTTGCATGAGGTCAAGTCCTCAGACAATAATGTTTTACGCCAACATACACACGGAGAGTTGCAGGGGCATGCAGAGCATAGAAACAAATATTCAGCAAAGCAGAATAATTAATTACTTCATGAAATGTAAAACAGGACTGAAGGTGCAACAACCAATAGGACTATACTGACTGATGGATCGATAACGCGCAAAGGAACGGCTGATAAACTATTTAATGAAGGGTTTTCACTGCAAATAGAAACAAGGCGCTGCTTTAACACTGTGAGAATTCATCCTGCTTTCAGATGCAGCAGAAATAATAGTAATTAATGCCTAAGGTTCAAGCTGAAACATCGTTAATATTTAATTAGGGGAATTGTTAGAACCCCCTGTGTGGAAATAGGGCTTTATATAGATTATCAATAAACATGCTTAATTTTGCATCAAATTCATCCCGACGTTTTCAAAAATCTCTCTGTATCCTGTTTCTTGTCTGGCTATATGTTCAGTCCCGTTTCCCACTTAATTGCCTTCTCTCCGCGGCATTCGCCATACCTTCACCGCAAGTGGACCATTGTTTATTTATTTTTCCGCAAAATATAGGCAATCATTTCAGAGGGAGAAAAAGGAAGAAAAAAGAGAGAGAGAGAGAGAAAGAAACGGCGAGCTGAAAACGTTAATTAGTGAGCCCAATGGCAACGCATCGCAGGAGGCACTATAATTAAATGTTTAGCTGCTATTTAACATCCTAATGGCTTAAAAAGTCCACTGAGAATTAATATTAAGCGATATAGTCTCTCTAATGATCGCAATGCAAAATACATAATTGCTGATTAGAAACAAAAACCGACGTTGGAAATATTGAATAATTTGCCCCACGGAGTACTAAACTTTCACGTCAGGCTTCCGTGTAATAATAATAATAATAATAATAATACTAATAATAATAATAATAATAATAATAACAATTTCGTTCAAAAATGTTGCTACAATTTCAATTCAGTTTCGAAATGCAGCACTTTTTTATTATAAATCTTGAGATTTTTTTTTCTGTTTATTTGTAATTTATTAGTGATCAAATTCACCTTCAAATTAAACGCGCCAACGCACAGAAAACACACTGAAAACTTTATCAAAAAAAAAAAAAAAAAAAAAACAGGCCTAAAGCCAAGTGTATGCAACTTAAGAGGGGGTTAAAGCCAAACGTGTTAACTTGAACTTGATCTAAAGCTCCTTGTATAAGTCGATGCTGCTCCTCTCGGCGTCCCAGCTGGTCCGCTTTCACCTCTTCTTCTCTCCCGTGTCATCGTTGTGCCGTCCTGTTTTTTTTTTTTTCTTTCTTCCCCCTCCCCAGATCACAGAGATATATACTGAGGAAGGACTCCTCATCCATGTGCTTCCCTCTCCTCTTGTCATTTTCAGATTTTTTTTAAGCCACACCCCTGCAGAGTGAGAGAGAGAGAGAGAGAGAGAGAGAGAGAGAGAGAGAGAGAGAGAGAGATCCATGACCATCTCCCGGGTGTTTAAAAAACTAACTCAGGACAATAGCAGCGAATGAGCGCTTAATTAAATTAATTAGTCCTTCTTGTCAATCTCGGATTAATGGCCAATAGCGGCGGTGCTGCTTAATGTTTTCTTTTTTTTTTTTTTTTTACTCCTCTCTCTCTCTCTCCCTCTCTCTCGCTCTCTCTCGTATCAGTGAAGGGGAAGGGGGGCTCATCCCGGCATCCTGAGGGGAGGTAATTTGCACGGATCAAGGGGGCAAGGCGCCGCAAAGTATAAATACTGTGACTTCAATAGAGGATCACCAGCAGGTTCCCAACTCCGCTAACCAAAGGAGGAGGAATTGGCTGAGAAGAACATCTACCTTCATATATTTTTTACCTTTTACCCAGAGTTGGCTGCATCACCTTGTGTCGTTTTCAAGGGGGTCGACTTTAAAACGAGCCACACCATTGATGTCTTAAGCTGTCGTGGAGCAAAGGGAGAGAGTGTGTGTGAGTGAGTGTGTGGTGGTGGTGTGTGTGTGGTTTTTTTTTTCCGTTTTTTTTTTTTTTTTTTTTTAAGAGGAGAGAAGCCAGTGATGGAAGAGCTCACCGCTTTCGTATCTAAGTCTTTCGATCAGAAAGTGAAGGAGAAGAAGGAAGTGATAACCTACAGGGAGGTGTTGGAGACCGGCTCGACGCGAGCAGGGAGCAGGGAGGCTTTATCCGCGGAGCCCGGGAGCCGAGAGGAGGCGGCCGTCGTTACCCGGAACGTTGCGCTCTCGCCGGGCAGGGAAACGGACATGCTCGGCCCGGAGAGGATCAGGGACGCCGGGAGCCCCAAACTCATTGACGGTAGGAGTGCATGGTGTACTCTGCATGGTCTTTACGCAGGGACGTCTGGAGGACTTGATAGAGGAGGGATGAAGTCTGGTCTAACAGAGAGCCACGCTTTAAGTTGCCAAACAGTTGAAACAGCTTCATTATTACGCGTCAGATAATGAAACGAACAGACAACTAACCTGATTCTCGATAGAGAATGAGAAGGGAGTATGTTACATGGGGTTTCTGAAAGTAGCTTTTAATGTAGTTCGTGTCAGTTTTTACCTTGTGCACAGTCTAAAATGCTGTACAACAGGCTGTTTGGTAGATATATTGCTTATAATATTTAAATGTACCCAAGATTTTTTGCAGTTTAGTAGTTATGGCACATTTTTAAAGTTTCAATTTACAAATACACTACATCAGAAAATGACTATTAATAATAAACAATAAGGCCTCCAGTGGAAAACTAATAATTCTTCTATAATATGACAGAACTTAAGCCCAGTTTCTTGCATTCTTTTTTAAATCATAAGATTACACATAGATGCGTTGTGGCCCTAAAGTTTGCGTAAACGTTGCAGCTTAGCCTGCTTAAAACTCTATGTTTTATTTATCACATAAGCAGCACTGACTGTAGAATATTTTAGGAATCAGTACGTATCATTTGAATGGCCTATGATGGCTGTGTTTAAACCAAAAGGAATCACAAAACTGGCGTGCAAATAGCTGCACATGAAAGGTGGAAATCATCAGGTCACAAATATGTGTCTTCAGGTGTAGCAGCACATCAGGTGCCACAATAAATATCTACAAATATCAAATAGTAACACCAGGTGGAGGAATTGTTTTTTTGTGGTTGTCCTTAATAATTCATTTTGAAATATATAAATGCAAAACAAAAATAACAGCAAGTAAATCCTGCATTTAAAAAAAAAAAATGCGTGCAACAATTTCTTTAAACGGTTGATGTTTTATAAAGCAAGAACTGATTGTGTGTATTTATTTTAAATAGAGAAAATCCAAGCATTTTGTTTCTTTTTTTTTTAAAGGAAAGTGCAGCAGCTTTGCATGTTTCCTGTGCAGCCTGTGTATTATGAAACCTGGACAAAATGTGACAACACACTGGACAAGATATCTTAGAGTTGGGTGGCTTGTTAAAAAAAAAAAAAAAAAAAAAAGACATCTGCTCGTCATGGGCAGCGTGGTTAAAAGCGGAACTGCGACAAGCATGTATCAGACATCCAACAGTGGGCACAGCGTTGCATATTTATAAGCAGTTAATAATTAAAGAGCTTTATGTAGCTCTACAAAACATCCGAGGTCTGATAGCTCTGTGATATCTGAGGGCACGTCTCTCTTTCTTTCTTTGACACGAGGTTTGTTTCAATACATAGGTCGATCATTTCTCGATATTTTGTGTTGCCTGCGAGTAAAATAGATACATAAAGTGCACGCTGTGGCCATTATTCCTCCCTTTAATGTGAGGTACACACTTCGCACATGTAGGTGAGTGTATCGTTTTCAGCCTAATGTTTCAGCTGCATCCAACCGATGTGTGCGTAAAGCCTTTATCCCGAATTAAAGCGCGTGGAAACATTTGATAAATGTGTGATCCTGTGAAGGCCACTGATGAGACTGGAGGTCAGCGCGCAGCCACATGATGCTGATGTTTGCTTCTCCTCTCAGGCACCACGGACGTGAAAGAAAGGAAAGAGGACTCGAAGCCTATCGAGGACGAGACACAAACTAAAATCAAACAGAGGAGAAGTCGGACTAACTTCACATTAGAGCAGCTCAATGAGCTGGAGCGGCTCTTCGACGAGACCCACTATCCGGACGCCTTCATGCGGGAAGAGCTGAGCCAGCGACTGGGACTGTCGGAGGCCCGAGTACAGGTAGGAAGAGTGGATTAAGCTGCTAGAAAAAAGCAACGACAAATACTAATAAGAGCAATAATAATAAGAGATGGAGTATGAAGATCTGTTTAACAAACTAAGTGAACTCTAGAGACCTCATTTTAAATCTAAAAGCACAAAATATAGCCCTGAAACATATTTAAAAAATATATTATCATAATCAGCAACAGCATCACCATCATGGCAACCGAATCTAATGTTTCCAATAATAATAACAATAATAATAATAATAATACTAATACACAGACTCCCGTGTTTCTCCCATTTATTTTCTTTTTTCCAGAAGGGATTTTAATAATGTCCTCGCTGATTTTTTGTTCTGATAAGCTTGGCATCCCGCATAAAAACATCGCTCAGTGCTCGATAACATTTTTGTTTGATGGAGGGTTTTTATGCAGAGGATGCACACACACTTGCTTAAACCTCACCAGGCCTGGATTTGTTTCAGAGGACCTCCGAGGGCAAGATGACATAAGTTGATCTTAAAGAAGGAAGGAACAAACTTGAGCTTATTTCCCCCATCTTCCAATTTATTCCCTGATTAGATTTTTTTTTCTCACAGCATGTGCTCATTATTTACTGCGTTAATCGTCTCCATTAAGGCCTGATTATGTCACGAGAGTTCTTTGTTTGATTATTATTATTGTCCAAATAATAGAAGTGAAACAAATACACCTACAAACATTTGCCTTCAGTTTGCTGGGTGTGTGTGTGTGTGTGTGTGTGTTGGCCCTGTTTGTTAGTGTAGTTTTTCATGGGGATGGACCATCTGCGCAGAAACCCAGTAAGGCTTCATCCAGTCCGGGAGGGGGGTGGCTGTGTGTGGGAGTGGGAGCTGGTGGTGGTGGTGGTGGTAGGGGGGCTCAGACATGTCCTGTGTAACGCGAGCAGGAGGAGGAGGTGGGGGGGACAATGGACATATAGACAACTCTTTTCATGTGTTTTTCTTTTTAATCAAAAAACCTCATAACATCTTACTCCAGACTCTTTTATGGCCCGGCTCAGGAGGAGGACTGAGCGTTTGTATTGAATATGGCGGAGAAAAGAAATCACAAAACGGGCCCAAAAAGATCCCAAACTCACCCCCCACACCCAAAAAAAAAAAAAAAGTTAAAACCAGCTTTTTGCAGGGCTCTCCCGGCCTGAACTGGAATCTCCCCAATAAGGCGCATTGTGTCCCGAACAAGAAGGAGCACAGCTCGGGGATTTGCATAAATTATGTATTATTTTCTAGCCAAATCAAGCACAGCTCTCCCCTCTCTCTCTCTTTTTTCAAATCTCAGTTAGAGTATTATATCTTATTTTATATCTTAAACCAGTTGCATGCACAGACCACACATTTATTTGGATTCTTCTTAAAATTCGGCCTCAATCAATAACTGCAGTGCATTTATCATCGCAATAAATTATACCTGAATCGTGCACAAAAGGACTTCCGATTGACACACAGTGTGATCAATAAATGAAGCCAGCTGACAGCCGAATCAATATGATATTTCAATCATGCTTTCACTGTGTGTGTGTGTGTGTGTGTGTGTGTGTGTGTGTGTGTATGGGCCTAATGTAAGGGAGATTGCAGACTGACACGTTGAATTGTGGGCTAATTTAGCCCGAGCTTTGTCTGAGAGATTCAAAGCAGATTATCATAGTAATAAATCGTTTAATCTGTGTTCCAAGGCGTTTCTCTGAAATTGACGCTTGTCGATTTCAACAGGAGCAAAAAAAAAAAAAAAAAGAGAGAGACAGAGAAGGGAGCTGTCTTTGAAGCGTTTTTTTTTTGTGTGTGTGCAAGTACGTGTTATGGCGGTGATTAGACAAAACTGCGAGGCATTTAAGCGTTTCTCTGACATGGATTTTCTGCAGATAAGGGTAATTAATTTCAGCGGTCATTTAATGAGAGGGAGACGGAAAGAGAAAGAGGGAGAGATGCTCTCAGATCGCTTTGCTCTGATGTCCAAAACCGTAATAGCATTGCTGCTATTCGATATCCGAGACTCCATTCAACTCTTTGGGGACACTAATCTATAGAAAGATGAAACCAACGCTGACAAGGTTATTTATTATAGTCCAACAGTCCTGCACATTTCCAACAAGAGTGTTTTCTAGTCTCCCATTTTAACGTCTCTCTTTCGTGGATTTACTTTTTTTTTTTTTTTTGCTCCACTGTTTTCTCTTCCTCCTCTCCCTGCTCCAACCCCCCACACTCCTCACTCTCCCTTGTTGTAGACTAAATGTAATAATTAAAATCTGGGGTTAAGCAGTGTCATTAATATTTCAGTGCTCCTCGGGGATATTGTTTTTCTGCGGTTGTTGTCACTTTGAGAGGAATTACACATGGTCTCACAAGCAGCTGCCAATCAGTAGGTCTCTAATTAATTTCTGTCCCTGCAGGTTTGGTTCCAGAATAGAAGAGCCAAATGCAGAAAGCAGGAGAACCAGTTACATAAAGGTACGCTTTTATCCTGCACGATCCCACAAAGACAAAATATATATTTCTATTCTATTCCATTCTATTCTATTGCTGTCTATACACTCCAATGCATGCAACGCCCTTCATCTTTACGCACCGTTATCATTTGCTTGGTAGTTTAATTTCCAGTTAATTATGTCATCAAAAAGATGTCTTTATGTGCACTGTTTATCTTGGACGTTATTAAAGTTTACTCCGACAATCAGCTCACTGCTGCGCATTCAGTCCCACAGTTTCACTCTTTGTGCGTGCTGAATATTCCCCTCACAATTAGGCTATCATCTGTGTTTTTGCAGGAGTCCTGATTGGAGCAGCGAATCAGTTTGAAGCTTGTCGTGTAGCGCCATATGTCAACGTGGGGGCTTTACGGATGCCATTCCAACAGGCAAGTTACTTTGAAGCGTCTAGTCTTAAAATCAGACCAATCCCCCGACTGCTGTCTTGGCACTGGCTCTGCCCAAGTGCTATGCAGAGACTCCAGTTCCAATGTAGGGGGTAACTAAACTCTTATTACCACACTGACAAAAACACTGTGCCAACACAGCGTAGTCTGTACAGCCTAATTGGAAAATTCCCTCTATTGTTTTTTTTTTTTTTGGACCACCTTCATGCCTATTTAACTGGAGCAAACAAACATATTAGTAGGCCTGCGAGGTGTGGAATAGATAGCCGGGTTGTGGCCTAACCAAGACCAGCACTTCCTGAATGTTTTCCTAAAATTACACCTTGAATTAAATAATGTTTGGTGGCATGCAGGGTGTAGATAGAGTGCACCTGCATGTGAGGGTGGCAGAGAAAGTCTAGACAGCAGCAGTAAAATTCTGTATTGAGTACTCACTTTGAGCGCCACTGATCTGGTGTGAGTTTATTATATTGCAGGCAAAAAGCCCACAAGATTCCCCTCAGGCCATGGCAGCTTGGATTGAGATTATATTTCATGCTGCAAATAAAAACTCAAATTTGACCTTTGACTCAGAAGAGTTGCAGCACAGCCAACAGACAAAGTCCCCAGAAACGAGATGGCACACTGCGCACAGACACTCCAGAAACCACCACATTAAAAAGGGAGCATTATAAGTAACAGGCTACTAACATCTGCAGTCACACTGGTGAAATGACCCCCCACTGCAAAGTTAACGCATGTTCTCCCCCCTTCTCTCCCCCATCCGTGCGTCCCGTCCCGTAGGATAGTCATTGCAACGTGCCGCCCTTCTCCTTTCAGGTGCAGGCGCAGCTGCAGCTGGACAGCGCCGTGGCGCACGCGCAGCACCACCTGCACTCTCACCTGGCCGCGCACGCGCCCTACATGATGTTTCCCGCGCCGCCGTTCGGCCTGCCGCTGGCCACGCTCGCGGCCGAGTCCGCGTCCGCCGCCTCGGTGGTGGCCGCCGCCGCCGCCGCCAAAAACACCAGCAAGAACTCCAGCATCGCCGACCTGAGACTGAAGGCCAAAAAGCACACGGCCGCGCTGGGACTGTGACGCCAGAAGGAAGGACGGACGGAGAGACACTGAACTTTTACAAAAGTGAAAAAGAAACAAAGAAACAAACAAACAAACAAAAAAAAATGGACAAAGCGAGAAAAATTATCCATGGACTTTATTTATGTTTTTCTTTTTCTTTTTAAAATGAAGGACGACGAGTATAAATATAAAATATAGGCTATTTATGAGATAAAGAAAAGAGACTGTGACGTGATAGCCTACACATACACACGTTGATTTTTTTTTTTTTTTTTTGGCCCCAAAAAAAAAAAAAAAAAAAAAAGCGGATGGACAGCGAGGCTGCGCCGCCACATGGCTGAGGAGGCCGCCGGGACACCCCGAGGAGGAAGAGGAGGAGGAGGAGGAGGAGGAGGATGCAGCTGGGTCGGTCGATACTTTGTCAAACAAGGCGAACCATTCTGCAGTTGTTCTGTTTTAATATTATATTATTATTGTTCTGATTTCATTTTGAACCTATATAGAGGCTGGCCTCGGTATATTTCAAAACAACACTTTTCTCTGTGAAAGGACAGAGCGGGAATTCTTTGACAAAAAAAAGAAAAAAAAAAAAGAGACAATTTGTGAAGTGTTTCTCCCTCCTCTGTTTCTTCTTCAGCAGTGTTTGCATGAGTTCACGGATGACGTGATGTGAGCCATCCTCCCCCCTCACCCCCAACCCCTCCCAGAGGAAGGGCACCTCTCACTTGAATGTTTGGCCTATTTGACCTTGTTTTGGACCTCCTCTAAAAACACGTGTAGGCTATGTTCAACTTTTTTTTTTTTTCTTTTTTGTCAGGAGAACCCGATCTAGTGTCCCATATTTACAAGGTGATTTGTCCCCCCTTTTAAAGGAGGGCAATTATGTCATAAATGGCATCATCATTACCACAGTGAACAAACAACTCACAGTAACACGAGAGCTGTATGCGAACCGGTACGGGCACGTGTAAAATATGTTCATACACAAGAAACATGCATTATTTTTTATTATTTAGTGGCTTTATGAATGCCTTGTGGGGAATTTGTTCATTTTGTATTTTACTTTATTTCCGTGTATTAAAAAAAAAAAAAAGAAAAAAAAAAAGAAAAATCATGTGCTTTCTGTATGTAATTTTGATGTTTTTATAACAGTGGAAGTGAACTCACCTGAGGCACGGGTTTCTTAAAAAAGAAAAAGAATATTCATGAAATTGTTTTATTTTCTTTTTTTTCCATCACATGTGAAACGTGAATCCACCTAAACAAATTGTTTTTCGTTCCTATAATAAATTAACTAAAGTTTCTTTAATGGGTTGACATTATTTTTTTTTTACAATATCAATTGGCTTTTAAATTATTATTATTGTTATTATTATTATTATTATGGCCGGTAAAGCCTTTGGGAGCGTTGGATTTTTAATAATTCATGCCTGTAGCTATAGGTCTTTTGATAACGTCACAGTGGTGACAGGCCCGTTTAGTCAGGAACATGGGTGTCTGTTGCAGCGCCCATGCCAAACCGATGCATTATTCAGTTTGGTTATGGAGGGCTTGTAGAGTAGGACTGGTTAATTTCCAGTACAAGCTACAAAACCAGGCAGATGCAGGATAAAAAGACGGGGGCCATTCAGCAACAAAAATGATAAACTTTTGCAGCTTTTATGCACCTAAAATGCACGTAATTATAATGTGTTTTTTTAAAAAGGCTCATTTGGTTTTAAAGGTGTAATTGTTGTAGGGAATTAAATCTCTCCGGAAGCCAAACTCTTAAAAAAATTATATAAAACAAAGATGGATTTTTAATCGAATTACACACTGCCCACTGCTTTATCTGTAGCAGCTTGTAACCGCATATAAATGCCTCGATTACAAACATTACTCAGCCTCAGTCATTTAACAAATTGCAAAACTTGCACTTTGTTGCATCAGCAACATTTAAGATGTGCATTATGATAAGAAACGTTGAGACGAGAAGTAGCAGGCCTATAGGTTAACGGTGCAATCATACCATTGCAGTTGTGGATGCTCATCATGCCTGAGCTTGGCCCTCTGCCCATCTCCACTGAATGCAAATGTTGCTGGGGATTTTTAGTTATTTTTTTCGTTTTATTTGTGCCATCGCCCTGAAATTGGACATTATCAATGAAAATACAACAACTCACAACGTAAAACAAAGCCAGGGTTTCTGCACAAAAAAATAAAAATAAAAAAAACAAAACAAAAGAACAAGAGAGCTTTATTAACGCCTGCCTCACTTGACTTACAAATTCGCCTGATTCATTTCCTGACATCTTAACCGCCTCTTATTGAACATTTAATAAACACCTGACACGGGAGCCTATAATTATAGGAATCCAGATCGCATTACCCTTCCGATATTTCCACACAAAACACAATGTCTTTAGCTATTAATTAATACTGATCTCACAGAGTCTGCGCTACAGTCTGGAGTGTTTGTGTATCTCGGCGTTTGGGGCAGGATTTAGACGCCAAAACTATTGAATTATTGATTCTGAGCCCCGCCAGTAATGGAGGAGACGGAACTGGGGAAACTGCTGAGGCGGGAGCGCGCGTTTCGTCCCGCGATGGAGCAGAAAGAGCGGAGTCGGGGGCGCGCCTCGTCCCGCGACTGTCCCGCTCAGGAGAAGTGTGACCGGCTGAGTTTTGTGGGAGGGTCAAGTTCATCACAGGGTTATGTCATCTTAATTTAGACATTATTAAGATATCCAGTTGTTTCTTGTAGAAAAGTTGAGTCACATACATCTAATGTTGTGCCACTAACTCATTGCCATAGGGATGTTCAATCATTTTATGTATAAGATAATTATTTCCCATTCACCTGAAGGATTTGTGTACCTGAGTGGACTTTGTGCTTTCATTTTGTCTCCGTTTTTGCAGTTTTTTTCTCTTTCCCCACAACAGGCAACATTTTCCTCCCTTCCCTTCTTCATGACAAGAGTCCAAAGTCTTGATTCCTGCCTGAGCTGTGGAGTGCTCCTACAGCTATCAGCGTGTTCCTGAGGTGCAGCGCTGGAGTGGAGGGCCTCTGCTCGGAGACAATGAGACGGGGACACACAAGTGTTCTGATTAGACATGGAGACTACCAGCGCTCGCACTCTCCTCTCAACACACTCTTAAGACACACACCCCCACACAGCCAGCCGGGAGCCAGCCATGCTGGATTCTTCTCCCCGTCTACCCCTCTCGCTTGCTTGCCTTCCTCTACTCTCTCTCTCTCTCTCTCTCTCTCCCTCCTTCCTCAACTTAAACACATTCTCACTTTCTCCCTATTGTAATGGATCACTGCACGCTGAGTTGGCTGAGTCAAGAGAAGGCCAATTATATTAATCAAATGAATGAAAAACAACACTGGACACATAAATATGAAAATCCAAATGCATGGAAGGAAACTCATACACCTACACACACATACAGATCATCACAGCCTGGTGAGTCACAACAGCACTCGACACCATGGAATCCTTCATATCAACTGGTGCTGTCTTGTTGCTATATTTACCCCACTACAACCCCTGAGACAAATACACTACTCTCTCATTTCCCGCACTTGGCCCTTTATCAAATTAGGGCACGTTAAACAATCACACAGAGCACTTTTTTTTTTTTTTTAACTGACAGTGGAGGCATTTTTTCCTTGCAAGTGGATAGCTGCTGCTAAGCGCGTTGTATATACTGTTTGTAAGCATGCGTTTTGTGTGTATGAATCTATGTGAGAACGTATGAGAGACAGACAGAGCTCCCTTTCTCTTCTTTTTCTCTCCAAGGGCTTGCCTTTGTTACATGTTAGGAGTGCTCAAAGAGCAGGGCGCACACAGCACTGCACCAAAGACAACAGCCATCAGGAGCAAAGGCAGATAAAAGACCAACTTCAAAGACATCAAATGGAGCGAAAGTGAAAAAGAAACCTGCTGAAAACTCCCTCCAATAGCACTCAGGCCAGCAATTAGGACGCCGTATCGCTGCCTGTTATCACATGCGTGCACTGTATAGGCCTGGGTGGCTAACCGCAGCACTTGGTGTGGGTTGCAGTCAGCAGAGAATTATAGCATTTATAGAGCTTGACTGTAACACTGTATTTAATTTCACTGTAGGATGAAAAAGTGGGTGTTCACACAGATTTGACCCCTGCTATGACCAGGGAGGCTTAACCATGGTGATTACAGACACAGAAAAACAACAGTCTCTATCTCCAGCTCCTTCTATTCAGCAGCTAAGTAGAACAAAACAAAACAGAGGTCAGAACAAAACAAGAAGTCTAATTGTTTCACTGTTTCCTGTTTAGGTGCCCCAGGGCAATCTACACATTTTTATGTACTGGGCGCATTTTATTTGTTATTAATTCATTTCCAGTTGCAGCTGGTTTGCAGATTAGAGAGATAACATAATGTATAACTCCCTGCCCTGGGAAGAAGACATAACAAGGGTGGTATGTGTTGAGACCTGTGGGCATTAGTAACCCTGGGGGGGGGATTTTATTGTTTCCATTGAAAAAAGGTGACATTTGGTGTATTGTGGATGCACTGGGGGTTGACTCTGTGAGCATTTTTGTGTGTTACGGGTTTGTGTGCGCATTGTGGTCTCAGGGAGAAAGAGTGCGAGAGCAAAATGAAACGCGAAGACACAGAGAGAGAACAAGGGAGAGAGGGAGAGTGATGAGGGGCGCACAGTAAATGTTAAGCATTTGGCCCACGCCGCTCTGTATTTACAAGCTGGTAAGATCCAATCATCTGTGTGTGAGTATAATCGAGTACTTGCTTTTCAATCATCAGATGTTTGTACACAGACTCTTAAATTACAAAAAGCCTTTTGGAAACACAGGCCTAACTCATCTCATATTGATTGTATTCACGCTGTCTGAAGTTTACAAAATGCCATTTTAAAATGTCATGAAATGACAAAAAAGCCGACAAATCACCCAATATTTGTATCAGGATGCTCAAGTGTCTTTTTAATGTGGGTAAATCCAGGGAGGTCCACGATCATTCATTCTGGGGTTA